TCGATGGTCTCGATGCGCCAGCCGTCACGCGCGTATGCCTCGCCGAGCGCACGCGAGACCCTTGCCCACAGCTTGCACTCCGCCTCGACGTCGCCCTGGAAGTGTGGCACCCTGTGCCACGGCCGCTCCGGGTTGTCCTTCTCGAGCTCCCGGTCGTAATCCTCGTGGCGCGCGGCAAGGACGGCGCGCCAGCGCTGCTCCGTCTGCGCAGGCCGGGGCCGCTCGACCATGAGCGCGTCCATCTCGACGTCCGCGTTCTCCTTCTCGCCGCCGCCGCCGGCGAGCGGCTTGCGCCGGCGCCGGCGGCCGGACGCCGCCGCCGGCGCAGGTGCGGGCGGAGTCGCGCGCCCCGTCTCGTTGTCGGGCGACTCCTCGCCGCCGGCGGCGTCGGGTGCGGCGACGTCGGCCTGCGAGTCGCGAGGGCGGCCTGCACCGGCGGCGGTCCGCAACGTCTCGCGGCGCGCCGCCAGCCACGCCGTGAACTCATGGGCGATGTCGCTGTCGTCGGGCGGCTGGTACAAGCTCGGCTGGATGTGGTCCATGAAGGCCTCCATCTCGGCCGCGGTCACGTCGTCGGGCGCGTCGACGGGCTGCAAGGCCGTGGACCGCACGGCGGGGCGGCTGCGCCAGGACTGGCGCGTCGCTGACGACGAGCCGAAGCAAAAAGGGCTGCACGACGGCAAGCCCGGCTGCATTCTCGCGCCGGGACGGCGATCCTGGTCGAGCGAGACGCCGCCTGCTTTCGGATGTTTTCTTTCTTGATTCCGTTTGTTGCAAACGGAATCAGTTGCAATAAAAAAACAAAACCCGAAAATCCCCTTTGCAGCCAAGCCTACCGGGCACCTAATCTCGAAAAATTCTTTTTCGCGCCTAAGGAAGCGAGCGACGGAGAAGCGGGGCTGTCGACGCATGGCAGCGGCAGCGATCGTCGGCTGGTGGGCCTCCCGCGCGAACACCTCGGCGACCGAGGACGGCGCGGCCGCCGCGGCGGCTGCGGCGGAGAGCTCATACGCCTACGAGGTGCCGGGCCGGCCTGGTGCCGCCGCAGCATTCTACCCTCAGTGCTCCGGCTGCTTCAGCGACTGCACCGCCAAGACGCTGAACGACGAGGTCGTGCAGCTGGGGTGCTGGGACATCTGCTGCGTCGAGCGCGCGGCCTCGGGCCTCGAGGCTTCGGGGCTCGGGCTCGGCGTCAACGCACTCACAGGCAGCATAGGGCTGGCGGGCGCAGCGTCCACGACGCTGCTTCCGGGCGCAGCGCTAGTGAACGGGCTCGCCCAGGCGGGAGGACCGCTCGCGCAGATGAACCCGCTCGCACGGCCGTGCCCCGGATTCGAGGCCACGTCCCGCTCCTGCCAGAGCGCCTGCATCTCTTCCTACATGGCGGTCGCCTGGAACGGCTGCTGGGACCACTGCTGCACCGCTCCGCCGTCGCCGCCGCAGCCGCCGTCGCCGCCGCCGGCGGCGCCGCCGCCTCCGCCAACGCCTCCTCCGCCGCCCTCCCAGCCGTGGCCGCCCTTTGCACCCGCCATTGACCTCGCGGACGTGCAGTGGGCCGTCTCCTCCGGCTTCAGCTCGGCGAGCAGCCTCGTCAACAGCAGCACCAACATCGGGTTCGGGGCTTGGCGAGGCTGCCATCGGCACGCTCTCAAACTACGACTGGAG